TTAATGACGACGAAGACAATAAATCTTAAAATCTTGAATCTAATCCATGGTTTCTTAATTAGCCTCTTGTTACGCCTTTCTCCTCTTTGCCTAAAAACCAAGATTGTATATTCAATGAATTGAAATCTTATGTTGTGCCTCTTACTTTGCCCAAAAGAATGATGGATAGCGTCTATTTTCTTGTAAGATTTAACGAATTTTATGGTATGAGAGGTACCTTATGTCTTGCTAAAGGTCGAAATTCGATCAAGAAGTGTGCCCAAAGTTCCATGCCATATAGAGTTTCAACCAAAATGGACAACTGGGTCATCTGGCGTGATGGTAACAATGTGTGCCCTCTTCACGTCAAGGCTCATACTAATGAGCTTTTCAGGTTCTGTAAAATAGACCCTTTTAATGAGTTGCAACAAACAAATATAAGTAGTTGTCCTTTCCTACATTCAGCCAGGTTTGATTACCAAAACGTGTCTAGTTCATCTACCAGCCCAACCAGGCACTGGCCATTAACTTTTGACAATTATTTGTCAGATAATTGCAAATGGAATTTGATCGTACAAAAATCACACGATAGTGTGAATAAATAATAAAGTGATGACTAAAATATAATTTCTACGAGGACTATGAACCTTATTTAGAATCAATTAGGTACCATTTGATTGGATGAATTTTTCATGGAAAATGGAAAAACTTTTCCACTTTCCGCCTTTTTAAATGTTTGATTGATAAATTTTTCCTTTGTCCCTGAACTTTGAAAAGCATTATTTTTCACAGATTTTTGGTGAAATTTTGTTTCTTTTGATCAAATCCCATCCTGATTTAAATATAACATGCAACAATCGATATTTAACAAATTAATTAGTATGTTATTCAATTAAATTCCAAATTATTCATTTTTGATGGTCTAAATAAGTGAGAAATTATGGAAAATACATTCATGGCCTGTTTGAGTCACATTATTCCAAAAAAATGTATTCTTAAACAGTGATTTGATATCATTTCAACCACACATTCTTCAATAAAATAATATTACACGCAAATAAAAAAAATCCTTATTTTTTAACCACATATTTCCCATCAATACACTATTGAAGAATGCATTATTACCAAAATAATGTAGCTCAAACACTCCTACAATATAACATCCTCGGAAACCTTTTTGACATCCTCTCGAAATACATCCTTCCCATTATCGTAGTAGGCAGTGCTGGCCCTGATTATAGGCGAGTTAGACGATCGCCTAAAGCCCCCACTTCGATGATGGCCTCAAAAAATTTTTTTTTTTTTATTTTACATGTATTTTTACATATATATAGGATCCTATATTTAAAATTGGTATAAGGCCCCCAAAATCTCAGAACCAACCTTGCTAGTAGATCATTTTTCTCGTTACCAATAGTTCCATTTATCTGCTCATTGCATATAATGATTTTGATTATAAAAATATGAATAGTAGATTTGTAATATATCAAAAATGAGCTGTAACTACTAATATTCTGAAAATTTTGGAAACAAAAAGAAAAAAAAATCATTTATTGACATACTTTTAGACCGTCGGAATAAATTACTTTTGGCCATTGGTATCAAATATTAATTGAAAATAAGTAGAGAGAATTAGGCCATATATTTGTAATTTTAAAAACTGAAACAGAATATTTCGTTTCTTCAGTTTTTTGAAAAATACTTGCGCCTAATTAAAATTATAAATATTATAATATTTTATTTAATTAACCTACCTCTCATTTCAACCCCCATTTGAAAACCCTAATTACCTGATGACTTGCGAACCATGTGTTCAATCCAAATTGAGATATAACGGAAGCAATGGATATTGGAAAATCACTATACATAACGAATTTTCACTGTCCGAAAATTCGGCTGCTGAAAACCATGTTCACTGATTCCATTCATGGTCAAAAGATCGAGTTGTTTAGCTTCTACCGCGGAAAATAAATCCTTATTATTGATATTTATTTGAATCTTCCATTGATGAATACAGTAAAAGCTCTATAAAATAATAATGTTGAAATCAAGAAAAAATATTACTTTAAATTATTTATTAATTTACTGATAAATAAATAACTTATTAATAGCGAAAGATTATGAAGCCTTTTCTAATTGACGCTACAAAAATGTGATGGATATCGAACACTTCTTTAATTATCCTAGAGAAAATGATAGGATGATGGAATAACCTATCGACAATGAAGAGATTATTCAAGGGTTAATAAATATTTCCACAAAGAATGATCGTAATTTAGATATACTAACCGTTTTTCAGACAGAAGTATTTCATGCATCTTAATGTTAAGTAATTACTTCGTACCAAAAAAAAAAAAAAAGACTAAATGTGGTATATGCATTTCAAAAAACTAAGGATGAGGTTGAGTTTGGTTTGAGTATAAAGAAAAATAAAGGAACTTTTGCTGTATATTCTAAGGAAAAATTGAATTGAAAAAATAGAAACTGTAATGTAAAAAGTTCAATTATATGAAATATACATTTTACGTATTTAAAAACTTACTATTTTATATTTTCGTTGAGTTCAAATATTTTAAATAAAATTATTATCTTATGTATTCAGCGAGATTATTAATTTAGTACATTGGTGTGAGCCAAGATCATTTATTTGAAACTCAATGCGTCTTGAACCAAGGCAAACAAGGGTTACACTTCCAGACAGCATATGGTAGAAACTATATTAACGAACAAGCCAATCCGACTCTACTAGTGAAGTGGGCTTATGATAAAAATATTCTCCATTTAAACTGATGTTGTAGGCTGTATGCATGTATTATTGCTTAATTATTTGCACTATTTAAGACTTAAAACAGATTGTCTTAATTTTCATGTCACGTTTTCACAATTTTCGAGCAAAGTGTCTCAATCTAGTTGAAGATAGAAACTTGTTCACGAAATATTTTCTTTCAATTAAAATCACCGCAAGTGCATGATTCGTTAACAAGTAATAAAGTGGATTTTTAGAGTCCGAATATCGTTCCACAGAGATTGAATAGTTTAATTTTACCTATCGTGGTCTTAACCGAAACTAAATTACTCAATGTGAATGTTTACCTAAATAAACCCTAATTTTAGGGGGTGGGGGGGAATCCTAAATTGGAATGCAAACCCTAGTTTATGCAATTTTTACGATTGAAATAAGATTAATATGTAAGACACGATTTTTAACAACACAGAATGCAAAACAATTGTTGAAAACGCAAAATTGTAGTATTCAGTGTAAATCAAGCGTGTTAGGATTACAATTTCCCATGTAACGATCACCTTAAACCACCCTAATTTTACAATGTGACAACATGATTGAGTTGTTGACGAATCAATGCTCCTAAATCTATCTAATACTCTCTCTCGAGATGTATTAAACCTATTTTTACATACCACCGACTTATATCTCTATGACAAGTACATATATAAAAATGTATGCGGTTTTGTAAGCACTTATAGATTCACGTAGAGCATAACGGTATATTTCTATCCCCTATCGAACCCTACGATGATTTATATAGTGTCGAACCTATTCTACTTCTCTCAAATGCAAGAACAAGACACTCAAAACTCACACAAATACGGGCCCTTAATTGCGGAAAACAATAATTGCATATAAATCATTCAAACAATCAAAACGTGTTTTGATGTCAAATTGTAAAACTAGAAATTTAAAGACCTCATCACATGGTACATTGATCTCCTAATACATGTAAATCTAGCCTAACATGGAAATAATATCGAAATACGTCATATATTGAAGAGAAAGCATCACCGGGTTATAAATTCTTAATAAATCTTTTTGATCTTCATGCAATCCTTCGTTAATTCCACTCAAAATCCTCTACAAGATGTGGTTTCTTGCCTCCCGATGCGTTCTCCTTGTTTTTGGACGTCCTAGGGCTTCAAAAGACTCTCAAGATTTGTTTCTATAAGAGTTTTAATCAGAAAAGAAAACTAGAAAATTTTCGTCGCGATTGGCCTGGGCTGTCGCTCAGGCAAAACCCGGACTGTCACCTAGGCCAACATTTTCTTCTCGATAGTAAGAAAAACATAGGGGGTGATCGCCTGGTTCACCCAGGCAAATTTTTTTCCATATGTTGCATTTTAGTCCCCGAAGTCGATTTTTGATTATTTCAAGCCCTTTCTCTTGCATTTTCAACCCTTTGACTTTCAATTGCATCCAATTGAACCCGCAACATCTTTAATCTTCATTTTGTGGTCCGAATCAACTATTGAAATGTTGCAACTTAATCCTCATACTTTGAATTTCTTCCTTTTTTTGTCCTTTTTCGTTTCTTTTCTCTTGAATTCTGCCACATTCATCAATATAGTTCTACAAAATATAAATATAGAATTAAGTCATAATTCAAACGCTTTGATCAACAATTAGTCATGTGTTTGTGGCCAAATAATTGTGTAAAAAACACACTTATCAAATACTTCAAATAATTTTCACAATTTTCGTGTCTTCCCATACTTTAAACGGGTATTATTATTATTTTTGGTAACTTAGGTGTCCGAGTTTCGTCTAACTAATCCTAAAAAGTGGCAACCTTTCCCCCGGTTCGCCATCCAAATAAATTCGGATACGATCACAACTTATACATAGTTGGACTGGACATTTGGAAAGGGGTTCTCCTCCCAGTGGATCTCCCCTTACAATGTGCGATTAGGACTATAGGAGGAATGACAAATAGCACCATAATTTTGCCTCCATAGGACATCTGACTTTCAACATAAATGTTGCATTCCAACTGCTGCAAGCTTTAAACGGGTATTATTGCTATTAGTTCATCTGTTCAAAGAAAATGATTTACTCTTGTAGGATTTAATATGTGAACCTACTAGAGGACATTAGCCTAATGCTTATTTTTGGTGCAGAAACTGCCCTTTTGTTGACACATCCAATTGACAACAACTTATTATAAGAATCTGATTTTCCTAAGTCAAATGTCATTGTAAACAACTCCAAGAAAATCAAGATTCTTTAATAGATGACAATTGGGAGGCTAATAGAGGGGCTTCTCTTGAAGCTGCCGGCCATGTCTATTCTTAGCCCTCGTTTGGCCTCCCATTAATTTCTATTACATTACATTATATTTTTCTCTCTCCTATTTTCAATCACACAATCTTTTATAAAATAATATTACACATAAATCGAAAACTTTTCCTTCTTTTTTAACCACTCATTTTTCAAAAAATACTATTCTACCCATTTTCAACTCTACAAAATGGGGGCCAAACAAGGGCTTAGTCTTAATCAATGAAAATGAGTGGAATAAAAAAACCCAAATTTAAAAAGGAAAAAATTAAAAAATGAATAAATCCAAATGGTTTTGTTCTTTTTAAACAAAAAACTAATGATATATCACTATTATTATTGTACATTTGACCTCACTGCATGGTTTAAAACTGGCCATGAGCTCAAGAGGCTGCAATTCAACAATTTTCAATTCTTGAAATTCCATGGACAATCCCAAGACTCCAAAGCATAAACAAACAAATTCTACAAATCTTTAGCCCCATCTTCTCATATCCAAGAAAATATTGTGATATTTCTATGCTATCCTAAATATAATGAACTATTGTCGTTCTTGGTAAGTTCGATTGACTGTGTTTCAAATAAAAAATAAGTATGGTTTGCAATATTTTAAAACATTACTCGATAAAACATAATATATCACACAAATGGTTTTAAAACAATGTGGCAAAGAAAGAAGAGGAGAAAAGAACTTATAAATGCACTTCCCTAGGACTCCAAGATTGATCATAATCCATATAACTCAACAATGGATTGTAGAAAACGTTCATTTTCTTTCTTTTCTTTCTTTACAATAATCTTTGTACTATGCTCTAACATCTCTCAGATCTTAGTCGTTGAATATCCCATAAATGTCTGGCCCAAGCCCCAACTTTCTTATGGCCCAATCCACAAGCAATCTTACTCGCTGGAAACTTCACAGTCTCCGCCCCTAACCACCATTACCGAACCATCGCTGTCAACCGTTACCTCCACCAAGTACAGACGGAGCACCACCTTCCCCTCGTCGACCCACCCCTAAACCTAACGTCAGCTCCGCCTCTAACCGCCCTCGTTATCACCGTCGCTGAAGTCAACTCTCCGTTAACTCACGGAGTTAATGAATCCTACTCCCTTGCCGTCCCTTCCTCCGGTGTAAACACGATTCTAACGGAGCAAACTATATGGGGTGCAATGTGCGGCCTAGAAACGTTTTCCCAGCTCGTTTACTCGAGACCATCAAGTGTGGCGTGCGGGTTGTTCATTTCCGACGTTCCACCTTTTATGCACCGGGGAATCATGCTCGACGCGTCGAGAAATTATTATGGGGTGAAATTTTGGTACTCAAACTTTTTATTATTTTTACAAATTAAATCCAAATTTTTATATGTGCTACTTGCACTCTCAAATCTTTCAAACTTTATTGTGAATTGTTTATAATCCATTTCACCACTCACAACCCACAAACCCAAATGACTTTTTTCTATAAGAACGAAATGGGAATTGGCAAAGCCTCTAATTACCCATCTCAGTTTGACAATTTTCTAACTACACACTAATAGCTCTAGCTCAGGTAGAGAAAGACGCTTAATTACTAGCTTTACGAGGTACGATCTTTACCCAAAATTTGCATTTGCTATTTGCATATACTAAATTAAGGAATAACTTTACATCTATTTTTCATTTTTTTGCTATTCCAATTTTAAAAAATATATTTGTTGCCATGTGATGTTGCTTACAATCAAACATCAGTGGCAATTGTTTTGCCTACTTTCAGAAACTGAGCGAATACAATTCAACCGGTTGATACTTGGAAGTTCCATAGTTAAGGAATACCGACCACTTTGGCTGTATTCATTCAGTTTGTTGACACCAGTTGGTAATCAGTTGAGATGGTTGACGGCTGATCTTACAAAGACAATTCTTGTTTTGCTTTCCATTATTACGAATTTTTGTTTGTGGATTTGAATTCTTTGGAAATAATAGATACTACGGGATCACGTCACCTCTTCATGTAAAATTTTAGATTAGGTTCACATTTACTTGACCGCCAGTTCCACCTAGAAACTCTATAGCAAAATATAAAATTATTGAGTATTTCGTTCCATTTCCACGGCAACTATTGGTTCTCTAGCAATCATTGTGGTTATATGGGGCTTCGATTCCCTTTATATATGCACTTCTCATTCGATAAACTTTGCAAGGGCACTTTCCATATCGAATCAACATATTAAAAGCTATGCCCTCGGGAGCATAGCCCAGTAGTGCAAAGGACGGGAATGAGGTTATCTCACGCCTTGCTGGCAGTCGTAGTATGAGGGTTCGATTCCCGAAACATGGAATTGAACTCCTTGTAGGCGCAATGTACAGGCAGCTCTTGTTCCCTAGCCTGTTGGAGCACATTTCGAGATTTATCTCCATCACAAATCTCTAGGGGCGAGATGGTGGGGGCCCTTAAGATTTGGGTTCAATTTATTTTTTTTTTTTTTAACATATTAAAAGCTATGATGGAAGGAAGTTCAGTAAATGTCTTGTTTGTATGTAATGTTTTGGACTTTGTATAAGTTGAAAATGAGGAAAGAAATTAAAAATTAAGTCTAACACGAGAAATTAAAAATTAAGATATGCACCACATTTCTTTTCTTTTCTTTTCCTTCCTCTTTTTTTTTTTTTTTTTTTTTTTTTTTTTGAAAAGTGTGGAAACCAAAGGAAAATGACCCATTTAGATTAATAAATGATTGCTTGGAATACTAAAAACAAAACTTTCTATTTTTTTCTAACTACAATGATTAGAAGTGGTACCGATAATAATGATCCACAAGAATTGTTATTCCTTCAACTCATTAGCATGAAAGAGACTGTTCCCATGTAACTTCAACAAGTTTCATCCTTAGGATTAATAGTAGAAAGCTTCCCTAGAAACGTTTCCATTTGCGATATATCTCCCACCTATTAAAAATAGCAAAAAACCTCCCATGTTTGAACATTTTGTGAAAAAAAAAAAAAAGAACCTGCCTTTAAAATCAGGGGCAGAGCCAGGATTTTAGTTCAATGCGGGCAAAAAATTTTTGACGACGAATGTCGAGGTTTTGGTCATTGATTATAATGACGATAAAAAAATAAAACAATAATACAACAATACTAAAAACGAGGTAATTAATATATTACACTTGTTCCTTGCAAGTTTTCATACTTTGATATCGTTGTACAATAATTTCATATTGAGCTTCAAAAATATATTTTTCTCCACATAAACAATTGTGCTATCATTCATTCACTGATCACCCAATTACTATGAGGAGTAGGAGTAATTCAGATTGTCAAACGAATCACAAATTCTAGAAGCAACTCACAAAATTCAGTGCAATTCACAATTTCACATAATCAATTCGCAGTGCATTTCACAAATTTCACATAATCAATTCAAAATGCAATACGCCAATACCTATATATACCATTTGTGCTGTGCAATTCACAATTTCACTTAATCAATTCACAATCCAATTCACAATTTCACATAATCAATTCACAGTTCAATTCACAATTTCACAATGTAATATGTACTATTTCCAAATTCTAGGCAACTTGAACTTATTTTCACAGATTTGCAGAGTCAGAGCCCAGAGACAACAATGAACTGGTGGTCCACTGGAAGTTTGTGCAGCTTCGAGCAATTGAAGAACAAAGTACTAATTTCATATATTAAAAATATATATATATTATTACAATTTACACAAATTGAAATAATAATAAAAATAAGGGAAAAAAATTTGGAGCTTCACCTTCTACTTTTTGGAATCTGGCTTTTTCGTTTGCTGGCTCGATCGGTTGGCGTTGGCACTTGGCACCTTAGCGGAGCTGAGGATGTAGAGTCGGAGTCGGAGTCGGAGATTTGAGATATCAAGATGAGAGCCTAGAGTAGGAGATGTACAATAATGGACTGTCGGAGAGGGAAAGGGAATGGCGGTCGGACTGTGACGACTGTCGGAGACGACGGTTGACGAAGAGGGAAGAGAACGGTAGGCATTGTCACTGATGGAGAGGGAAGTGGGTGGCAAAGTGCGAAGTCGTCACGGACAAAGTCACGAAGGGTTGAAAATTTGAAATGAATGAATGGGTTTGGGTCAACAATTGATTCAATTGGATTTTGATATGAATGGGTTTAAAACGGGTCATGGCATTGCACAATTGGGCTTCTCTCTTTGGGCTGGATAGATAATTGGGTTACTGAGTTAAACAAAAACAAAGAAAAAAATTTGGGGCCAAAAGCCTGCTCGCACTGGACATATATTGGCTCTGCCCCTGTTTAAAATCTGTCAGATATACCGTTAAAAACAGTAAAAAAAAGACAAAATTAAAAATGAACAATTACAATTTCAGTACTCAATCTTTTTACGATTACGATTCTTGTTTTGCTTTCCATTATTACCAATTTTTGTTAATGAATTCGAATTCTTTAGAAATAATAGATACTAGGGTAGCACACAGCCTCTTCACGTAAAATTTTAGATTAGGTTCATAATGATTAATAGTTTAAGTTTCGAACTATAGAACTTGACCGCCAGTTCCACCCAGAAACTCCGAATATAGCAAAATATATAATTACTGAGTATTTCGTTCCATTTCCACGACGACTATTGGTTCTCTAGCAATCATTGTGGTTACATGGGGCTTCGATTCCCCTTATATATGCACTTCTCATTCGATAAACTTTGCAAGGGCACTTCTCATTTCGAATCAACATATTAAAAGAAGGAAGTTCAATAAATGTCTTGTTTGTATGTAATATTTTGGACTTTGTATTAGTTGAAAATGAGGAAAGAAATAAAGAATTAAGTCTAACCCAAGAGAATAAAACTTTACTTCTTTCACCTGCCCTTGAAAGCATGGCTCTCAGTGCGTGCATGTTTTTGACAATTTTTTGCTTCTTTTATTTAATATAATATAGTCCAATATAACTTACACACATTATATAGCATCTATTTTTTCATGTGACTATTTTATGGATTATCTTAATTTGCAACATAATAGAGGTTGCTATCCAGAGCTTGATAGTTTTTATTGTGCCAATGAATGAGATTAATTATATGATATTATGATCTAATGAAACTATACTTTTTGTATTGTTGAGTCAAAAATTAAAATACATTTTTTTTAAAACATAACATTAATGAAAATAAGTTAATATATTGTAGTCTATTTGCATTCATGATCTTTTTCTTAAATGATGGAAGTTAGAGTTTTCTCGCCCAAAATACTACTCGAGTGAAATCAAGCGCGTTACTGGCGTCTTTAGGACACTCGAGCAAAACTCATACGCTCCAACGACGATAGGCTTCAATAATATGCGTTCAAGTGTATTCTTATAACCTTACCTTGTCCTCCAAGGACGATATAGAATAGTGCAGTACATATTACATATTACATACTTCACCTACTCTCACTCAACATCAGGCAACACAAGTTCCACATCCAATTACAACACAAACCCCAATGATGAGAAACAAGTTTGAATGAAAAAGGAGAGAAATTTTAACATAAATATTAAAACCTTTAATTTCAAACATAAAAATTTCATACCTAATTAAAGAATAGAGATTGAAATTGGAAATGGAAGGAGGGTTTATTTGAGATTGAAGAAGAGCCGTTTTTTTATTTTTTTTTTTAAATTGAAGTATAGAGTAAGGTGTAGTTTGTAAACGAGAGAATAGGTAGTGGCCAACTATAGAAATTGAAAAAAATAAAAAAAAAAATTCAAACTTCAAAATTCAAAAAATTTGTGGGGTCACTTGACCCCACATGACCCATGTTGGTCTGCTAGTGTGATCTAATACTTCGGCACGTTGAAAACATGGAGCAAATTAAGTGGCAAGTAAACACACATTCATGTTTTGAATCTTCCATCTTTCATCTTATGAAAGAGAAAGAGTAAATAATTATTTCTTATAAGTAGGGTTGGAATTTTTTTGGTTTGGTTTGGTTTTGACTCTAATCCGAAATCAAAATCAAATTAGTCAGTTTGGACGAATTTCAACATAAATCAATCAAATACCAGTAAATTCTATCCCCGTTAATTGACAATTTTCATATAAAATAAAGCCAAACGAACACCAAAAAATACTTTTATTTCAATATTTTCCATGTGAAAAATTATACTAATCAAACACAATAATTGACGATTCCGAGTAAAATAATTTCTAGACAATTCAATTACCTGAAATTCGTTTTATTTCTACCTAAATTACATCTTGGCAATCAAACGGACCCTAAGTATAGCATAATGAACTTGCGAAAGAAAATTCTCAATGCTATTATTTACTGGCAACATCATTAATTGGAGAGAATCGAAATATATTTAAGAGATTACAGCTTATTTTTCTTAAATTAAAAAAAAAAATGAACATGCAAATGGGTTAGGTTAGTTCGATTAATTACCGATTCGAGACTTCAAATCATGGCTGAATCGACCACCATGATTTTGCCTAAAATAAAATCAAACCAATTACATTTGTCAAATCGGCTTGAATCGGTTCAATTTGATTGGTTTGATTGATTTTTCGAGTTTTTTTTCCAGTCTAAATTAAGTTTAAAATGTTTATTTGTAAGAAATAAGTCGGTCTTAGTATAAACATTTTTTATGATATTTAAAAATAAGTAAATTAATTATTTGTAACATTAATCTTAGCATATTTTTTATTCATATTTAGGGGGGTTTGGGAGACATTTTTATGTAAAAATGTATTTTTGAATAGTAAATTGATGGGAAATATGTGGTTGAAAAATAAGAAAAAGTTTTTGATTTACGTATAATATTATTTTAATAAAAAATGTGTGGTTGAAAAGAAGAGAGAGAAAAATGCATTTTTAAAAAAATGGATACCAAACGGGACCTTATAAATTCTTTTTAAAACATTCTAATCATTTTTTTTATTTCACATTTGAAGAGATTTACAAGTACTATCCACTTATTCACAATTCAATTCTGTCCATGTATAGTTGAAATCATATAAAACACCTCTGCAATATGCACTTAATTTTTAATTTTCAGAATAAATTTTAAATTTAAAGTAATTGTCAAAAACATTTGAAAGTTTTTGGCGGTAATGAGCTCCCTACTAATCTGTCCGTCCGAATAAGCTACTTATAAGTAACTTACCTTTTTGAAGGCATAGTCAAACATGCTCTGATCTCCCAACAAAAACCCACGAACCCTGCTAGGCTTACAGAGAGAAGATGAAAGGAGGGAAAAGGAGAAAAACCTTGAAGTCCGTACAACCCCGGCATTCCCCTCCACCACCAGCTTCTCCACTTCAGCCCTCTGCCTTTGCCACGACCGTCAGAGGTGGCGTCGATATGGTGGTGGGGATGGCAAAAAATCCTGAGGAAAGTGAAAGATTTGAAGCTACTGAAGCTGCTTTTGAAGATGTAGAAGGGAAAGGGGAAGATTCTGAGCAGTTGGAAAATTCGAACGAAGAACTCGAGGTGGAGGCAGAGAGGCGGAAGCTAGCTGATGGGTACTATCTGATCGAAGCTGTGCGCAGTAAACGCATTCGTAAGGTATATAATCATCCATCTGTGGCCTCTCGGTATTGTTCTTATTGTTAGTTTTGTTTGTCTACTTGGAGTAAGAAATGAAGGACTAGTGGGTAAGATTTATTGAAATTTACTTTTATATATGATGATTTATTGATTTATCGCCCTCTCTTATTTTTCTCTGTATGGAATGCGGCGAAAATGCAGGGCCAAGTTCAGTATCTGATTAAATGGTATGTAATCCAGAAAATCAATATGCATATACCGTATCATGCGAAATTTGGAGATAATAACAGTATTTATGTTTAAACTGCCCGAAAATGATTTGTGTTAATTAATTTAACGGATGTCTTTGGAAAGGCAAGGCTGGTCGGAGGCAGAAAATACATGGGAGCCTCTAGATAATCTACTGCAATGTTCAGATGTTATTGATGCATTTGAAGAAAGGTTTTATTATTGTTTCTGTTTTGCCTTTGTTTTATCAATGTTACTAGTGTTATAATATATTTCTGAATGGAATAATTACAATGTTATTATAGTTTGACTATATTTATATAATGTGTGTATGAATGCCCAGTTGTGACATTTTTTCTTTGTTATCTCCTTGTTATATTGGATTTGAAGTTTGAAAGCAGGGAAAAGTTGGTCAATGCGTAAGAGAAAGCGCAGGTGCGGTATAACTTTCACCAGTACCAAGAAAAACGATCAACAGCAATCACCTACGGCCGCAACTTACAATGTGCCTTCACACAGGGTTAGGATTAAAAAAGGTCCTATACCCTTTCCTCAGATAAATGACTCTGGTGCTGCAATTGACAATGGAAAGACTCGTGTTATTGTGAACCGTGTTGAAACGTCCAAGAAAGTAAATGAAAATGGTCTAGAACTGCTTTCGGAAGGAAGAAATGAAAAAAGCGAGTTTGATTTGAAGTTATGTGAACTAAAGGGAGCTACGATAACGAGTGAGTGTAATATGGACAGGCTTGCTGTGCCTTCTCAAGTAGGCCAAGTGACAAGAGGAGATGCCTTTGCAAATGGATTGGAAATTGCTGATGTTGTAGAACCACCTCTGTCGAGTCAATGCATTGGAGCTAGAAAGAGGAAATCTGGTTCTGTCAAGAGGTTCAAGAATGGTCCAGGATCGTACACGATGGATGTTGCACCGAATGCAAATGCAACAGGTACTTTGGCAGAACCAAGAGGTGTTCGAAGTCCTGAATTTATGGGGATAATCACGAATTGCAAGAGTCAGCTTGAGGATTCCAGAAAGCTGGGTACTACTATTGCCCGGATCATCAAACCTATAAGCTATCAAATTTCCATATCTAACAACTTTGAAGAGGTTTTAGTTGCCTTTGATGCTGTGAGGTTTGTCATCTTACTCGAACTTTCTTACTTCATGTTTAATTGGTGAATTACATGCATTACATAATGTGAATCCCATGCACTAAAGTTAGCATGACCATCTCTTTGGGGGATGCAATATATTTTAAGATTTGCCTTTAAATCCATAGAAGAATGAAAGATTGTAAATGGTACTTTATGAAGTTGAGAGTTAGATAGAGTAGATGCTAATTGGCAAGGGTGCTCAGTCGTACTATCTCCATTTCTTGGTAATCGCTGCTGTCTATGTTGGATCAAACAATAGGAGGCTGTAGAGCTATCTTTTAAACTAACTGTTCCAACTATATGTGACGACGATATCGTCGGCATTGGCCTTTTGCGGTGTTTCTTGTATACTAGAATTTGAAAGGGAGAAAAAAAAAAGAAAAGAGAATGGTTAGAAGGGGTTGCACCAAATTTAATGTCTTTTGGGAAAATAAGGTAAAAGGGGATATTGTTTAAGATAATTTAATTTCGACTATACATTTCAGAACTTAACAATAAATGCCATAACTCTGTGTGCAGTGATGCACTGAAAATTTTGGATGTGCTTGCTGCCTACATATATCTATATCTTATCTAGAGGAAGATAAAAAATTTGACTGTAACGACCTGCTAGTTAAAATATTATTTCCGGAAAAAGGAGAATTGTCTGTAGTGTGGCCTGATTTTCTGTAGCTTACAACATCATTTGGGTTGTGTTTATATTTAAAATTTTTTCAAAAAAATAACCACGTAATCCTCTTGAAAATTTGAGTTCTAACAAAGATTAGTAACTACTATGATAAACTTTGGAAAATAATGTATATTCTGTTCTACTTTCGAGAAATGTGGCACATGAATCTTGACATCCAAAACTGGTCCCTGGCATTGCAGTTACTGAATGAAAATCATGCTATTTACATGGGTTGGGGATAAGCGTTGTGTTTAGGTTCAATGTTGGAACTTTTGACTTCATGGCCGTTCATATTGACACCAACTCACCTTTCTTAAAAAGGTTTTTGCCTCTTCAAAATTATTTGAAGCCCTATTATTGTTTATCGACATGGAACAATCATGGAAGTGTTTTTCAATGTATTACGTACTTGCTTGGCCAAGATTGTCAAGTGCTTATAAGTATTGGATCCCAAAAAATGTATAGTTGAAGAGTAGTTGTAGGTCCTAACGAATGTGTAATTAAAAATGGCGTTTGACTGACTTGTAAGCTGAAGAAATCCTTGCCTAGCATGCTCTAAATGTTTAGCATTGAGAATAATTAAGATGTTTAACATTTCCAAAATGTTTAGCATGCTCAAAGATCAGATTAGATGAGTATTGTCTTTACTCTTTAGTTCCTTTTCCTTTTTAGATTGCATTCTAGTTTGTATAGTTTTACAATATTTAGGTTGTCGAGAAGTTTACGTGTTCATGAATCTTTCTATTCTTTAAATTCTGTAATTTTCGTGGCTGCCTACAGGCTTGATGGTACTAAAGTGACGGTGGATAACAAATTTTTGAAAGCTAACAATCCACTTCTGGTAAGTGTTTCAATCTTGTACGGTTCATTAACCATGAATGTTTCTTCGACGTAGTAGTAATTGAACTGCCTAGTGTTAAACTATCAATCTTATAGGGTTGCTTTCTTTTAAAGTGCAGCTGATAGACTTTTATGAGAAAAATCTTCGTTACTGTTCCACATGTTGAACGTGTTAGTGAATAGAGGATAGAAGAAGGGGCCTCATCTTTGCGATTCTCCATGTTTTCAGTGTTAACAATCTTTTCCAAAAGCTTAAACTATTAGAGATCACATGTAATCATTTAAATCTCTTCTTAAGACTAGATTACAGTATATGTATCTAGGTATTTCACAGGGAAGATGGCCAATAGCGTTAAAGCTTTGATGATTCTCACAGTAAAACTTGTCTCTCTCTCTTGTTTGTCTGTTCGCAAACTTGATTTGATAGTACATGCTTTCATTGCAAGTATTTTTTATTTGCTTTGGTACGAGTGTTGCTTTTGCATCTAATTCGACTTAATGTTGAGTTTTTGAATGCTACCAACACCTGGGAGTGAAAAAAAAAAAATGACAAAGGAGAAGTGAATTTAAAAAAAGTTTAATGGATGGTTCATTTTTAAATAGGTATTACCTATCCAGGTTAAAAATCTGTTAACTGTCACAAATTTTTTTTTTTCATGGTGTGTTTTTGGTTTATTATTACCATTTATTTTTTCAATTACATTTAAAAATATATATATTTTTTGGGGCTATTTTATAATTTTTTAGCTTTATTAATTTCCTGACATGATTCTTGATCGAATTGGAGATACCCATTATTGTATTCCGATTGAATCGTAATTTATTTTATTTTCTATATTCTAAATCTAATTGTTACTTCAACTTTCACACACGAGGTGCTTTGACACACATTCATAGGAGTATATTGGGTTGGAATGCCTCTAATGTGAACCCATGTAGGCAAATGCTACCAACTCACAATCAATATTGAAAATCGATCCAAGAAAGTCAAAGCAAGGTTTTGGATTAAACTCAATAAATTTGGAACCAAGCAACCTGAATTGCCAACAATGTGCGGGCCTCTTGATTACTCAAAAATATGTGAATATCACTCGGTTGATTTGAACACTACAAGATTTAAACCTTGATAAGTTTGTAGATTGTCCAATTGAAGAACACTGGAAGAAAGCAATAAAAGTCTCTCAATAATAATAATGCCAAAAGTTCCAATACAATAAATAATAATGAGTATTTATACTAAAGCCCTAAGATATGGTAAAAATGTGCATAATCTCCAAAATATTTTAAAATTATGGAAAAAACAAATTCTATCAAAAAAAGGAAAATATGTGAAATTTGGAAAAATTCTCCTCGAAATAGACCCATGCGGTCGCATGGTTCAATTCCATGCGGTAGCATGGAGCAACCAAGTTCAGTCAATTGACGCCCTGTCCTTATCTATGCGACGGCAAGAGGTGGAGAACTATGCGGTCGCATGGTTCTTCACTTCGGCTCCGTTTTCGTCAACTTTTAACATATTGATCCAAGCTTCTTTAACCTTCGATCCCAACATGAAACTTGCTCCATTTTGAATTCCGAACATGGTTTCATCAACAATTGCGTCGACGAGCAATCCTGACGCCTCTTTCACTCGTTTCGCCCTTAATCGCGTCATCGGTCCACTATCAACTATCAATGGATTTTTTCCCGGGCTTGACGTTGGACTTAACTTCAATGCTTGCGTGTCTTGGATCACATCATTCCCTTACTCTTTAAAAGGGTTCGTCCTCGAATCTGAACTTGCATTAAAGAGAGAAAAATCAGACACATTAAAAGTTGTTGAAATGTTATACTCACCTGAAAGATCTAATTTGTATGTGTTGTCATTGATCTTCTCAAGCAATTGAAATGGTTCATCTCCCTGTGACTGCAACTTTGATTTTCTCTGTTTTGGGAATCGCTCTTTCCTAAAGTGCACCCGAATCCAATCTCCTTGTTCGAAGGTAATAATCTTCCTGCCCTTATTTGCTTGCTCGACATAATGTTTGCTCTTCTTTTCGATTTGCTCCTGTACCTTTTCATGGAATGACTTCACCAACTCGGCCCTCCTCTTCCCATCTAAGCTATCTCATTCATTCACAGGCAAATGTATTAAATCCATAGGTATTATTGGATTAAAATCATAAACAATCTCAAATGGAGAAAACGACGTAGTGGAGTGTGTGGCCCTATTATATGCAAACTCTATGAAATGTAAACATTCTTTCCAATATTTCAAGTTTTTATTAACCACAGTGCGCAATAGCTGTGTCATGGTCCTATTCACTACTTTGGTTTGACCATCGGTTTGTGGGTGACAAGTTGTAGAAAATAGTAATTTCGTGCCTAACTTATTCCACATGGCCCTCCAAAAGTGACTAAAAAATTTGACATCACTATTTGACACAATACTTTTACGTACTCCATGCAAGCGCACAATTTCTTTAAAGAACAAGCCTGCAATGTTAGTGGCATAATTGGTTTTGTAACATGAAATGAAATGTGTCATTTTACTAAACCTATCCATCAAGACAAAAATTGAATCCCGTCCCTTTTTAGTCCTAGGTAAATCTAACACAAAATCTATGGAAATATCTACTCAATGTTCACTAGGCACTAGAAAAGGTGTGTAAAGTCCATGAGGTAAGACTCTAGATTTAGCCTCTTTACAAGTTATGCATCGATTGCATATCCGTTCACATCAACTTTCATTTTAGGCCAATAAAAGTGTTCAATTAATATTTCTAAAGTCTTTGCTACCCCAAAGTGACTCATTAGTCTCCCACTATGTGCTTCTCTACCCAACAACTCACGCATAGAACAATTAGGATCACATAATTTGTTTTCCCTAAATAAGTACCCCTCATGTTTAAAGAACTTATTTACAGCCCCCTTATGGCATGAATTGTAAATGTTGGAAAAATCAAGATCATTATCATGCATGCCCTTAATGTGCTCAAAGTCAAGTAATTTCACACTTAAAGTAGTCTGAAGCACATACCTTCGCGACAATACATCTACCATCACATTTTCCTTACCTTGTTTGTAACGGTTAACATATGGAAAAGTTTCTATGAATTCCATCTAGCATGAATGTCGTTTATTCAACTTACCTTGACCCCGCAAATGCTTCAATGATTCATGGTTAGTGTGAATTACGAACTCCTTTGGCTATAGGTAATACTGCCATGTCTCTAAGGCTCGAATAAGTGAATAGAGCTCCTTATCATATGTAGGATAGTTGAGAGCTGTACCATTCAGTTTTTTACTAAAGTAGGCTATCGGTCACTTATCCTGCACTAAGATTGCTCCAATACCTATTCTTGATGCATAACACTCAATCTCGAAAGTTTTGTCAATGTTAGGAAGTGCTAACTTTGATGGTGTTGAATGCATGTTCTTGCTCTACCACCCATTGAAACCCCACATTTTTCTTGACAATTTCAGTTAGTGGCGTGGTAATTGTGCTAAAGTCCCTAACAAAACGCCTATAAAAACTAGCCAATCCATGAAAATTTCTAACTTCAATAATGTTTTTGGGTGTTAGCCAATCTTTAATAGTTTTTATTTTCTCTTTATCTACCTCTACACCATTAGCACTAACTACATAACCTAGAAATACAACCCTATTCATGCAAAATCTGCACTTTTTAAAAATTGGCATAAAATTGTTCTTTCCTCAAAACCACAAGCACACACCTCAAGTGTTCTACATGCTCATCAAGATTCTTGCTGTAAATTAAAATGTCATCAAAATAAACTACAACAAAATTTTCAATGAAAGCACGTAAAACATAGTTCATTAGTCGCATAAAGTGCTTGGTGCATTTGTGAGCCCAAACGACATGACTAACCATTTATACAACCTGTATTTAGTTTTAAAAGCCGTCTTTTATTTATCACCCTCCCTCATGCAAATTTGATGATACTCACTCTTAAGATCAATTTTGCTAAATATGCATGCACCAAGCAACTCATCTAACATGTCATCTCGCCTAGAAATTGGGTGACGATATTTTATCGTATGTTGTTTATGGCTTTACAATCCATGCAAATTCTCCAAGTTCCATATTTCCTTAGCACCAACAGTACAGGTACGACACATTCGACTCATGCTTTCCTTTACATAACCCTTGCTCATCAATTCATCCACTTATCTCTGAAGCTCCTTTATCTTCTCTGGATTACTCCGATAAGTTGGTCGGTTAGGAATGACAGCCCCAGGTATGAAATTAATTTGGTGCTTAATTCTCCTAATAGGTGGTAACCCACTAGACACGTCCTCTAGAAATATATCTTCAAATTCCTACAACAAAGAAATAGCCAAATTAGGGAGGAATGTGTTAGGCTCCTCAAATTTGAGGAGTGACTCCTTGCAGACCAATAATATCATTTGTTGTCTCTCCATTATTGCTTTTTTTAATTCATTCCCTCTCGCAAAGAAATTTTGTTTTGGCTTTTCTCTCTTCACGAAAGACTCTCTTTCTTTTCTCTCAATTGGCCCTACTCTCTTTTTCTCTCTATTGGCCACTTCTCTATTTTCTCTAACTCCCTTACTCTTGATTATTCTTCATTTTTCAGTTGAATTTTGTCCTCATATACTTGTGCTGGTGTTAATGGCGCAAGAGTGATAGACTTCCCATCTTTCACAAAATTATACTTATTCTTATACCCATCATGCATGGCCTACCTATCGTATTGCCATGGTCTTCCTAACAACATATGCCCCGCATGCATAGGTACAATATCACACATTACCTCATCTTGATATTTATCGACGGAAAAATTAATTTACACCCTTTTTGTCACATTGATTTCCCCCATTCATTTATCCATTATAATCTATAGGGCCGATGATGCTTTAATAATGTTAAACCCAATTTTTCCACCATATTAGTGCTAGCCACGTTAGTACAACTTCCACTATCAATTATAACACTACATACCTTGCCATTGACATGACACCATGTGTGGAATATGTTTTCTCGTTGCTGCTTCAAGTCATCTGCCTTGATTTGAGCGTTAAGAGCTCGCTTCGCGACCAACAGCCTATCACCAACCACATACTCCGTGGTGTCTTCTTCATCAGCATCCTCCAATTCTGACATCTCTGCATAATCACCTTCACTTTCAGTTTTCACTTCCTTGCTGTCCCACATAATCATTGTTTTCTTGTTTGGGCATTGAGAAGTAATGTGCCTCATTCCTAAGCAATGAAAATATTTGATATCCCTATTTCTTGATGGCTGTGACTCTCCCTTTGGTATGGCTTTGCTAGCACCATCTTCCTTGCCTCTTGGTATCTTAGCTCTCCCTCTTGCAACAGTTACATCTCCTTTATTATTTTCCCACTACAGTTTCCAAGAAGGATTAGAACCTGAAGATCCAGATTGGTATCTTGCTATCCCTTTTCGCTTCAATTTCCTCTCTACCTTCA